CCCAAAAGAGTTTTATTTCTTTGGAAAACTTCCTCAGCTATTAGTTCTTGTCTTGCACTGACAAGGGAGGTGTTTCAGGTCATGACCGCGCTTTTTGGAAATGGTTTGTTGCTTGTTGTAGGGTTCCATACAAGGGTCACAAAAATGGGTTTCATTTTTGCTATGCGTTTCTGGTAGGTCAAAACTGAGTGAAAAGAATTTGGCAGGAATGGGCGGTTTACAAGTTAATGGGCCTCGCGTTGCTGCTTGTAAGTTGAGCATGTTTGTTTATGGTGTGTTTCGTTAATTAGGACTCGAAAATAGATTTGAATGAAGCAAAATGTAAGAATCATGTAGTGACACTCTTGCCATGCACCAGCGCAAGCGCGCTGTTTTGTGAGCGCTCCCTCCATGAGCATTGCTGGCGGATCGGATGTCGTAGCGGATAGCACGATGGATTCTGGATGACACGACAATGCGGGACTCGGTTCGGATCCTCACTGTGGCAAACGTTTCTTTGCATGCTGTATCAAACGCACGAGACGAGCAACTTTCGCGGAAACAAGGTTCTCCACACAAGTGTGCTGGTTTGTAAGGTGTCATCCAGGAAAGGCCAACAAGTCAACCTGGACATTTGCAGTGACTGCATATCATTGTACTCGTCTTGACACAGGTGAATCGAACTACCTTCAAAATTTGCGGAACGATTCTCTGAGCGAAAGTTATGGAGGTTTTCCTTCACTGTTTTTCTTCCTGTGGGTGGGCTGGCGCAGTGAATTTGCACCTTAGCGTTTAGGCGACTCAGCGTCTTCGTCCGTGCGAAATAGATATCATATCAGGGCACAGCATTCGATGGGATTTTGGTCGAGCTTTTACGACCCCTTTTTTCAGGGGCTGGTACGACCCCCCCCCCCCCCCAGAAACGTCGCGAAGGAGAGAAAAATCAACTAGAAAATAAATTTTTCCCAGTCCAAATACGACCCCCCCCTTTTGACGGCCAAATACGACCTCCCCCATTAGGGAATCCCCAACCAATGCTGTGCCCTGTATCATATTGTGTTCACGGGTGTCAAACAGCATAAAGACTGCCCGTGAGAAATCCGAGGTTCTGACTCAACTTCGAAAAAAATGGGGTAGAGATGGTCACGCCTGGATGATAGCCAATACTCCGACTAGCATACTGGTGATGACTGGTCTTTGCACTGAAATAACCCTTCAGTCATGTCTTTTCGCAAAGAACAATACCTGGCTCACTTGTTCGTGCCGCCTGCATCATTTTCCTGATTACCGGTAGAAAATTCCAGTCATACCATAGTGGGTGACCGGGCTCGCTGCTTTGTTCTAGAATTGGAGCAACACATGTTTCCAGGTTGGTCGAAACAGTCAGATTTGGCTAGAATTTTGTCCGCTAGGGGGTAATGCCAACCCGCTGAACATAAATGTGGATGTATTATTTATTGGCAATACCTTCTGAATGAGCTCGAGGGGAGGGAGCAAGCACCGCTTGAGGAGCATAAGTTGTGGCCACAAGTAATTGCCTTGCAAAGGCATATACTCCGCTTAAGTTTCCATTTGCTGCAGCACACAGGCGGCGAATGGAAAGCTGAATAAATGTAATAAACGTTGGCAGCGAGGAATATCGATCACAGAGTGCCGCATTGCGCGGGCCATCCAGAATCCGGTCCTGTTATGCACTGGCGCTAATCCGACCCGTTGGCAGTGCTCGTGAAAGGCCCGCTCACAAAACAGCGCCCTTGCGCTGGTGCATGGCAAGAGTGTCACTACATGATTCTTACATTTTGCTTCATTCAAGAATCTATTTTCGAGTCCTAATTATACGAACGCACCTATAAACAAAGCATATGCTCGATGTTAGCACAGCAGAACGGAGCCCGGGCATTAACGTCTGTTAAAACCGCCCATTCCTGCCAAATTCTTTTCACTCAGTTTTGACCTACCCAGAAACGCATAGCAAAAATGAAACCCATTTTTGTGACCCTTGTATGGAACCCTACAACAAGCAACAAACCATTTCCAAAAAGCGCGGCATGACCTGAAACACCTCCCTTGTAAGGGGTTCGACAGAGCTCTGATGGAAGCAACTCGATGGGTTGGGGGGGGGGGGGGGGAGGGGTGGGGTAGGGAAGGTTGAGGAGGGTGAAAGGAAGGAGACTTGTTGAGAGGCAGCTTGGCGGATTCAATCGCACTGTGGAGAGGCACGGCTGCGGATCGCTGTGAACGATGAGTAGCGGCTTGTAAGCTGTCTCTGGGATGAAAGGGAGATTTTTCGGAGTATTGTTTCGGCTTTTGTTTGAAGTGTTTTTCTTGAGACGCTAAAAAACTCAACAACCTATTTTTGCGGTCTCTAGTTTCCTTTCAGAAAACTTTTCCGTAGCACAGAAAACTAGTTCTTCTTCAGTATGTCAAGAGAAGGAAGGATCAGTGTTGGCTCTCATCAAAATGCGATCAGCTGATGGCGACTGGCTTTGGATGCACACAGTCTTTGCAGTTCGTGGTAATCTCTGCCATGAAGTACAGGAAGGCCGACGAGTCCGGCATGTCATACACTGTTACTATCAGTCATTAAGGTGAGACTGTAGGATGCCGATTTCCAATTCAGTTTAATTAAAGAATGTGGGCACAATGGCCGGGGGAGGAGTGATTGCAGCCAACGTCATTGGTGGAAGAGCCAAGTGGGAAGAGGTCAAACGCCTTCTCGCAGGCATTTCTCCAGTCCCATTGGCAGCAACAGCCCGCCCCCATCGATCGTGCCCACTGCCTTTAGTGATCAGTTCCAAACGTTTATTTCAGTGGAATTGAAGCAGCTGCTCTGCAAGCGAATTCCTGGATTTACAACATTCGACACACGTATCCTGCAGCATTTCCTTGTCAAGGCTCGCCGACTCCGGTTAGTAACTAGACTTATTCTTGTGAAAAAGGGGTTAATTACAGGGTACTCAAATTTTGATAGAAGACAGCTTTTGTTCGGGAAGTATTTCCTTAGCAAAAATTAGGCATACTTGTCACTTTGTTACTATGTATTATTGTAACTTTCTGACACCACGACAAAATTTCTTGCTTCTTATGGAAATTCTTGGTGACCGCTAAACGGGCCTTCTCTTTGATTAGCAGAGGGTTTTTGCCTGGTGAATAGCGAACGTAAAGTAATCATTTTCATTCCACACGTTTTCTAGGCGGGTTCCGCGCTAGTGACGTGGGCGGAGTCGGTCCCATAATTGTGCCTTCCTCCGTGGCATTTCCCTTCTGTCCTTTACTCTCTCTGGATAAGGAAGCGCAGCAACAAAAAATGCGCAAAGGGTAGGCTTGACTCTGCGCATACGACCAGCGCGAAATATGCTTTCAGCCACGGTTACAGTGGAAAACCGGGGGCTCTTGAATTTCTATTGAGTCTCTCGACTTCCTGTGCAGTAGGCATTTCAGGAGCTTATATGCGTTACTAGGATCATTCAAGAAATTAGACCCTACAGCATTTAGAAGTGCACGAATGACTCCATTATACCACTTGGTATGACTCTCACGGATACGACTTTCACTGGGCGGGCGCAGTTTCTAAGGAACTTTCTAGAATGTTACCCAGAGTTTTCAGGATCGCCCCCTTTCGCCAGTATCACCCCTTACTGGCGAATCGTCATTTCCTCAAACGATTGAGCAACTTGTTCCGTTTATTAAGCAAGAGCCGTTCACTCCAGTGACGATGATACCAGCTTACGGTGGTTGCGCACAGGTAGATTCTCCCTACTTCGTGATTTTTTGGCGTATGCAATTATTTCAGTATTTTCCAGATCAAAGTCGAAATTCCAATGAAAGCCATGCCACAGATCTCGATGTTCACACCGGAAAGTTCTTCGCCAGAGTCGTCCGCGTCACTTACTTCAGCCCTGTTCGCTCAACCTTTCTTCGCAGGTCAAGGAGGATCTAATGAATCAGCGATGGCGATGGAAGATTTCAACTGCATTCTTCCATTGTCACTCAAAGGAACTTTGCCCGACCTTCGCGATGGCCTGGACGATTTTTTCAGAGAGGTGAGGAGATTACTTGAGGTAAATTTGACAATTTCATGCAATCCATGCTTTTAGGTTGAGCAACCGGCCGAAAACTCCCGCACTCCTGCTGCTGCTCCAATGGCATCGGCAACCGCTGCATGCTACTCTCCTGAACAAGCCACCGATCTTTTCAAATACCTTGGTCCTGCTCTTTTTGGTGGTCCTTCCGCTCAGAGCATGGAATCACTACGAATGGCCAGTTCACTCCCGAATGGTGTTCACTGTCCACGGAAGCGGAGCTGGGTGGTTTAGATCCATCAAAAATTCTACCACCGCGCATGAGCGAACTCACTGACTGTACATTTTCATTTATCCTTGTATAAATAACGAGTCCGCTTATTGCTTTATGGGATGTTTCTCATAGAAACCTGATTGTCAGCATTGTTTTATGTGCAGTATTATATCGGGTAGAGCAAACCACTCCTCATTATGCGTTGTCTTTCCAATCTATTGTGATATATATAGTCATTTGATTATGTCAAAAGCTCTATGATACTCGGATCGTGCAATAAATCGTTAGTCGTACGCACTGCAAACGTAGTTTTTCGCCGGGAGAGGTGTTTTTTCCATACACACCAAGCGTTCCAGGACTTCGTATGCGACTTCGCTCTCAACTAATTTACAAGATTCCTTCTTTGTCTGCATAGTCCGCTCCGCAGTCTCGAAGACCCTTCCATTTTCGCGACTCCACAATGAGTGACGAGAAGCCATAAGTTAAAGGCAAGGCCTGCGATCAATGGCCATCACAGATAGTGGATTAAGGGTTTGCATATAGACGACAAGGTTCTGAGTAACTCGATAGTGAAGAAAAAAGCAGAAAAAACATGCCAACTGCCCTAGATAGAACCCCATTTTGATCCCAGTTTGTACGTGCCCAATTAACCCCATCTTAACATTACGCCCTCATCCGCACAGCCGATTCCCCGACAAGAACTCTACGATCATACAA